GTGGACTAGAGTAACTTTGTTAACAGTGAACCAAGATAAAAATAATTGTGTCAATTTATTTTTATTTCTCTTGATTAGCACTGGTTTTAATTCCGTAGTTCATAGTTGGTGAAACCCAATTCAAAGCCCTCTTTCTTGTGTTTCTCACCCCTTCAACCTTCTGGTCCTCCATGAACTGTAAAAACTGGATCATAAGGTAATGTATTTTTCATGCTGAAATGAAGGGTTTATAGGACCGTCCCTAATAATTTGAGGGCGGACCTCCCCGGGATGGAAATGTATGGAGATAAATCATCCATCACAAGATACATTACTTTGACTGTTTTGGAAATTGCCCTTTTGCCAAATGTCATTGTGATCTTTATGCAACCTTATTTTTGTACTTGTTCACCTAACATACTGACTAGAGAAACTTGGATTGCTCTGGTGATATTGGGTCGTGATGGAGACTCTAGAAAGCACACCAAAATAAAAAAATCCCTTGAGATACCAGGGTTGATACACTTGCTTCACATCCCAATTGTCATATTGCACTGTGATGACCATGTAATCATTGTTGTGTTGATAATGCCAAGGGCGTCTTCATTCGAGAAGGTGTTTATGGATTCTTGTTATCTTTAAGGAATTTTGGTAATGTTAGAAGGCATAATGTTTGCTGTAAAAACTTGTCTGACGTCAGAATAGGACTTTCCCTCGTCGGCGAAACCCCCGAAGATAGTTTTAACCGCGGTCTCAAAAAATTTCTTAAACAATGTTGTTAGAAGATTGTGAAAGTGGCCAATTGTACTTTATAATAGTACAATACACGATAACCTTTAAGTTGTAGGGTTGTCATAGGTTTTAGGGTTTGTGTGTGCTTGCTAAAAGTACAATATGTGTCAACGCCTAGTGATTAAGGGTTGTCAGAAGCTTTAAGTTTTTTGGTAGGATTTAGAGCTAGCTCACATAGGGAGGTGATAAGCTCTGTGTATGTAGTGTTTGCGTGAATGTGAGATTCTCCCTCTCAAATTTTAGGTTGAGGTATTTATAGGAGTTTGGGGGCCTAGATTCAAGGCGCCAAGGAAGTAGCAACCACTTCCCTAAGAACATGGGATCAGACAGTAATCTATCATATTATTAAAAAAAACATGGTTAATTTCCCTCTGATATCCCTAAAATGGGCGACACATTTGAGGAAGTGGCATTGCCTCTAAAAAACAGGTGATTGATTCAAAATACGGGCGACCAAAAAAGTATTGTGGGCGTTATAGCATTTGCCTCCCATATCGCTCATTGCAACCCTCTTGTAAATATACCAATGCAAGATCTAAAACAAAACATATTTGCATTTCTTAATAAACACATGTAAAACATAAATACAACTACAAATATTAATATATTAATCATGAATAAAAGGGTCATGTTAATCAGTGCCTCGGACACGGGTGAAGAATTCTAAATAGAGAAAATATTATATTTCCAGTGAATTAAATATAAATAATTTCTTTTTAAAAAAATACTTATTTCCATATTCAGTGCATTGAATACACCTATTTTTAAAAAAAATATATTATTTTAGTTTCTTAAAGAATGTTCAACTTTCCTATTTAATCTTTTAACTGGGGCACTAATTAGTATTTCCCTAAATAAAATTATGTTTTTCAACATGAAAATATGTTTTTTTTTTTTTCATTTATATTATTATAATTACACGGGTTACAACAAATAACTATCTTTAAAAGAAAAATTTAACCGAGAAAAAAAAGCAATAATGAAAGCTACAGTTATTATTATTTAATTCATTAGTTGTCATTTTATTATAAACCTTTAGTTGTCGTGTAAAAAAATAATTATTCCTTTTTTATTTGTTTCATTTTATTTTATAGAAATATGAAAAATACATTTAGTATTATTTAATTCATTAGTTGTGTTTTATTATAAATCCTTAGTTGTCTTGTAAAAAAAATAATTATTCCTTTTGTATTTCTTCATTTTATTTTATACTAGCAATATTGGAATATTTATTCATTATTATTTAATTTATGAGTTGTCTTTTTATTATAAATCCTTAGTTGTCATGTAAATAAATAATTATTCATTTTTATTTTTTAGCAATAATGGGATGGGATATACATTTATAATTATTTAATTCATTAGTTGTTTCTGTCAAAAAAAAGTTTTAGTTGTCGTTTTTGTAAATCTTTAGTTGTCTTGTGAAAAATAATTATTCTTTTTTTATTTGCTTCATTTTATTTTATAGCAATAATGGGATATACATATATTATTATAATTTAATTCATTCATTGTTTTATTATAAATCCTTAGTTGTCTTGTAAAAATATAATTATTTTTTGGTCATGCTAACCAAAGTTTTGGTAACCAATGTTTTAAAAATCGAATCGTATATCGAACAGATAAAACACTCGATTTAAGGTTTAATTAGTTCAACATGTTAAACATATAAGTGAACCGTTTATAAAGTAAATTAATAATATAAAATTAGATTTCATAGATATGTCATGCATAATCATATCTTTATAATTTAATAAAATAAATATTTCAAAAATTCATTATAAATTTAATACAACAATATCAATAGTACATATAATAACATAACATAGTTTTATACTTTATTTCAACTTTCATTTAAGAATAATTTGACCAAATTAAAGATCTACAATAAAATAAATTAAACTAATTCAAATCAAAATTAAAATAATAAAATATAATAACTAAAATAAAATTCAAATAATTAAGAATACTTAAATTAAATAGATAGAATATCAAAAATAAATAATACAAAATACTTCATTAAACAAAAAAAAAAGAATTTGAGTTGAATTACGACAAATAAGTATTAATTGACAACAACAAACAATATTGACTTCAACGACAATCAACATTGAGTTGGACATCGTGACTATGTATGAAAGAGACGGCGTGATAACGATAGAGTGTGGTTGAAAGAAAACTATAACGGAGTGACAAAATTTAGAAGTTTGTAAGGTTGTAAAAAAATACGGAATTCTATTTTTGTGATTCGAAAATGTATGTTGAGTTTTAATATTGGCATATTAAATTAAGAAAAAAAAATGTCAATTTGATGCATTTTATTGAATCGCGCGGTTTTACAAAATCTTCTCCGGTTCTTTAATTCGAATGGTTTTTGATGGTTCAATCCGATTTTTCTAATTTTGATCCATTAGCGGTTTTGAAAAACTGACCCAACCGAATTCATCTCCGATTCTCGGTCCAATCGATTAAACCGGTTAATTACGATCCGATTTTTAAAATACTGTTAATAACACTCATTAAAAATTTCAAATAAACAAAAATATTAGATGTTTAATTCATTGAATACATACAAGATTCTTTAAAAAAGTTAATTATTTATGTTTTCAGTTTATTAAATACACATATTTTTAGAAAAAATATGTATTTTTAATTTCTTAAAAAAATATTTAGTTTATCTTTTTAAACTCTTAACCAATACTTTGAGAGCATTTGCTTACTATTTGCTTCATTTTATTTTATAACAATAATGGGAGATACAATTATTATTATTTAATTTATTAGATGTCTTTTTATTATAAATCTGAAGTTCTCTTGTAAAACAAGAATTATTTCTTTTTTTATTTGCTTCATTTAATTTTATAGTAAAAATGGGAGATACAATTATTATTATTTACTTTAGTTGTCGTTTTATTATAAATCCTAAGTTTTCTTGTAAAAAAGTAATTATTTCTATTTTATTTGCCCCATTTTATTTTATAACAATAATGGGAGATACAGTTATAATTATCTAATTCATTAGTTGTCGTTTATTATAAATCCTTAGTTGTCTGGTAAAAAATAATTATTTCTTTTTTATTTGCTTAATTTAATTTTACAGCAATAATGGGAGATATAGTTATTATTATTGAATTCATTAGTTGTCATTTTATTATAAATTCTTTTTATTTAATTCATTAGTTGTTGTTTTACTATAAATCATTAGTTGTCTTGTAAAAAATAAATATTTGTTTTATTTGCTTCATTTTATTTTACAACAATAATGGGAGATGCACTTATTATTATTTAATTCATTAGTTGCCGTTTTATTATAAAATCTTAGATGTCTTGTAAAAAACTAATTATTTTCTTTTTTATTGCTTCATTTTATTTTATAGCAATAATGAGAGACGTATTTATTATTATTTAATTTATTAGTTCTCGTTTTATCATAAATCTTTAGTCGTCTTATAATAATTATTCCTCTTTTGTATGTTTTGTTTTATTTTATAGCATTAATGAGAGATACAATTATTATTATTTAATTCATTACTAATTATTTTATTAAAAAAAATTAATTTCCTTGTAAAAAAATAATTATTATATTTTTATTTCCTTCATTTTATTATATGACAATGATGTCTGACTTGCTTACATAAAAGTTTCTTTTTTATTTTATTTTATAGATTATATTTTTCATAGTAAATTTGAATACCTTTATAGATTATAGACTTTTGTGAGAGATATATTTAATATTTATTCAAAATTTTAAAGTAATAAGTGAGTGATTTCTTTCACTTATAAATGTTAAAGTCTCTACATTTTTATCAATGTGAGATTATTAATCACACTACTACCATTTACTACAGTTTGAATAAAAGTTTTGTTTAGAAAAAATATATACCTTGATATCTTAAACCCAAAATAAAATAATTGATTGATAAATTGATATGATTTTGCTAAAACTTCATGCAAATGACAAAATATTTTGTTGATTATATATATATATATATATATATATATATATATATATATATATATATATATATATATATATATATATATATATATATATATATATATATATATATATATATATATATATATATATATATATATATATATATATATATATATATATATATATATATATATATATATATATATATATATATATATATATATATATATATAACAACAGGATATTATTAAAATTATTTGCTTAGTTTAACAATTTCCTATAGATGATTTTACAAACCTCCCTTAAGTGCAAAATGATTTACAGCTAAAAAGGATATTTCACTAAGCAAATAGATTCCATTGTTTAGAGCATGAATTGAGGGATTGTATGACTTTTCATCTGCAAGAGCTTTCTCACATCTTTTAACTTCATTACCAGCGTCATGTATATCATCAATTGCACCTTTAGGATTGTAACCCAATTTATACAATGCACTTTCAAAATCTTCCATAGCATCGGCGAAGAATGCAAGTGAACATTGTCTAATAGCTTTATCTTCGGGGAAACGAATTCCAACTTTGACATAATAAGATTGAACTGATGTTGCCTTACTGAATGCCATCTCCAAGATAAACTTTGAGAGATCATGATAGTTTTTGGCTGCAACAATTCTTGAGTCAGTTTTTAAAATGTTCATGCAACTATTGGCATCTTGGCCAGCCTCATTGCATACAATTTCGTACAAGTTGAGAGATAATGCTGGAAGAGCAACATAAAGCATTAGAGACAAATAAATTATAAATAGTGATGATGATAATCTGGAGGATTTCATTTTTTTTCTCTGACGATATTGATCAATGTAGGAACTTTAACTTGATTTATTATGTCAATATATCAACCAAGATATGAGTTTATATGTAGTTAGTTCAAATGTTATCTAGAATGTATATATTTAACATAAAGTAATATTTTAATTAATTTTTTTTTTTGGGTTCTGAGCAACATATATAGTCAAACATTCAGGTACAAAAAAGAAGAGTTAGTGTTTTGACCCTAATTCAAATGAAAAAATTCAGTTGGAATATTCTCAAGACAAATGTAGATGATTAATTTAAATGGTAATTTCAATTTTTATATAAAATCATTATTTTATATATATATATATATATATATATATATATATATATATATATATATATATATATATATATATATATATATATATATATATATATATATATATATATATATATATATATATATATATATATATATATATATATATATATATATATATATATATATATATATATATATATATATATATATATATATATATATATATATATATATATATATATATATATATATATATATATATATATATATATATATATATATATATATATATATATATATATATATATATATATATATATATATAACATGATTTAAAAGATGCCATTGGAATATTCTCAGGACAAATATAGGTGATTAATTTAAAAGGTAATTTATAAAATTATTATTTTACCATATATACTATATTTGATAATTTTGTTATATTATTGGACAAAAATACAGAATATAACATGATTTATATGATGCCATTGGAATATTCTCAGGACAAATATAGGTGATTAATTAAATGGTAATTTCAATTTTCACATAAAATTGTTATTTTACAATATATATATATATATATATATATATATATATATATATATATATATATATATATATATATATATATATATATATATATATATATATATATATATATATATATATATATATATATATATATATATATATATATATATATATATATATATATATATATATATATATATATATATATATATATATATATATATATATATATATATATATATATATATATATATATATATATATATTTCATTTTTGATAAATTTGTTATATTATTGAAAAATAAAAGAGAATATATCATGATTTAAATGATGCCATTAGAATTATAACTATGCATTAATTATTAACGTGCCATCAATTAAATTATTAAAATGAATTAAAAAAATGGGTAATTATTTAAATTTTGAGTTCTTTTTACTAGTTTGTATAGTGTTAACTGTTATTAATTATTAGATTTTATGGTCTATTATTTAAAACATGATATAGAATAATTTTTCAAGTTAAAAAATAGGGTTACTTAAGTTTTTCCTTTAAATTTGATTCACTTCAATTTTAGTATTTCAAAAAAATATCTTTAAAGAATGGTTCTTTTAATATTTTCGATCACTTTTGGTCCATTTTGCTTACAGTTATTAATATAAACTGTCGTAGCATGTCATGTACATGTTTTTTTTAATGATTGGACATATACATTGAAGTGTCAACGTGGCAAGATGGTGGCGTGATATATCATACGGCTAAAGTCAACATTGATCATGAATCTAAAAAAATTTGTAATTAATTGGTAGCTAAAATTGTAGCTAATATGTAGCAACTTCTACTTAATCTTCGAACGACTTCCTTAAGTTGAAAATCCTCAAAAACTTGCAAATATGTCCTTGATGACTAATTTGAGGACGGAAACCCATATTTTAGCCTTGATATATGCATGACTCCTTGAGGATAGATATGATGTGGTTGATGACTTGGAACGAATATTTGGTGCATTTTACTGGTGATATGACATTGTCGTTGACATCCCAATTATAGGAATAACATAAGTCTTGTGCATCTAGCTTGGTGGGGGTAAAACTGTGGATGGAAAATATGAGATGATCATTTTTGAAGAAAATTTTTATAAGGACTAAAAGTGAAATTGATCATATTTAAAAGGACCAAAAACTTATTTAACCCTAAAAAAATATAAGCGAGGGACTAAAAGTTAAATTGATCATATTTAGAGGGACCAAAAACTTATTTAACCCTAAAAAATATAAGCAAGAGACCAAAACTAGTAGATTTTAAAATAGAACATCAATTTATTGGATGGGTTAAAATAGAGGAAAAAACTATGATTATGCAGATAATTTATATTTAAGCTTTATCATAATTTTAACCCTCCTATTTCTGCGGTCTCATGGCCTCTTGTAGTGTTTTGGGTCGAACTCTAGTCTCGACAATGATAGTTGCATGTTTCAATAGAAGATTGTTTATGTTGTAGTCGGAGTCTGTTCAAACATGCATTTGTATAAGTTAGTTTGTTGTTTAAGTTAACTTAGTGTTTAAATTAACTCAGTAGTCTACAAATAGACTTCTCTCATTTTGTTGAGAGAGATTAAACGTTGGTGTTGTTATTCACTTCACTACTACAATTTTGACCTACAAAAATACTATTTTAATAGCTTATTTTAACAAAGTACTATCAAAATTTTCACAAAACCACGTATAAAATTCATGCATAAGAAGCGGCCAAACAAGTAAACAAACAAATGAAACAAAAACTGCCAAGCTCGCTGTGCGAGCTCTGGGAGAGGCAGTGGATTTTGGAGGTAGTAAAAAAAGCCTTAGTGGTCGTTGTACGACCTCTAGGAGAGGTGTCTCCTATGCCTCGCCGAAGGCTCGCAGTGCGACCGTAGCAGACTGTTATGGTTGCTGCTGGTTTGCTATTGCCTCGCTGTGCAAGCTCTATGTTGTAGAAATTCTGACTTGTAGAAACTATGTACAACAAAAAGGGTTTCTAACCCCACTTCACACAAGACTTACTTCCACCATAGAAATAACTTGTACAGCCTCAAAACAACATTCAAAAAATGTTTAACAACATATTCACATGGATTTCATAATATTAGCAAGTAAGAAACATCAAACTTAACATTTTCTAAACTATTTCATAAACCCCAACTTAAAGATTCTACCTAGAACCCACCTCCAGAACAAGATGAAGATGAAGAATTTTTTGATTGATGAAGATGAGATGGTGAATGATGAAGACGTCCTCTTCTTCCACTTCTAGGTTTTCTTCTTCTTTCCCTTTCTCATCTTTTCTCTTATTTCTCTTTATTTCTTGCTATCTTTCTCTTTCTCTCAAGTCTCCTATGTTATTAGAAGGGAAAAAGGAAACAAATGATACATAGAAGTATCATTGGAAAAGTTAGTAAGACTAACTTGACTTGGTTGGTAGGAAAGAGTACCAATTAGTAAAATATACAATATTGATGTTATCAAATTGTCTATATTGTACCAATTAATAAAATCTCAGAGTCAAATAATATTAATGAAATCAAATCTGAGCTTATCGGTTACTCTAACTATCCCAACAGATAATTCTCAAAGTACACCGGAACCCGGGTGATCTTAAAAAATACTATTTAGATTATTTTATTACATCCTCCCCCTTAAAAAAACATCCTCGAATTTAAAGATTACCTGAAAAAGGTGAGGGTAAGCATCCCGCATATCAGACTCAAGCTCCCAAGTAGCATCACCCAGATGTGTCTCATCCCACTGAACCTTGACAAGAGGAATTTATTTGTTTCTCAACACGTTAGTTTCTCTTCTTACAATACGGTTTGGTAGAGTTTCAAAGGTTAGGTCCGCGTCTATTTCCCTTGAATCTGGTATGATAGGCTGAAGAGAATTAGGAATGAACTTCGAAGTTATAACATGTGAAAAACATCATGCATCTCATATAGAGAACGTGGTAATGCTAGCTTGTAAGCTACTTCACCAATCCTCTCTAAGATACGATATTGTCCCACGTATCTCAGACTTAACTTTCATGACTTAAACGGTCCTTTCAATCTCAATCTGGGAGTAAAATTTAAAAATACATTATCACCTTCTTCAAATTCCAAAGGTCTTCTTCGGTTATCCGCATAACTCTTCTAATTCTCTTGTGCTTTCTTTACCTTATCACTGATCATTCTTATCTTTTCCTTCATCTCTTGACTAATCTCTAGTCCTAAGATTCTTTTTTCACCATCTTCCATCCAACACAAAGGTGTTCTACATTTCCTTCCATACAAAGCTTCGTAAGGAGCCATACTAATACTCGTGTGATAACTATTGTTGTATGCAAATTCAATCAACGATGAAGTTCCTTCAAATTTTCTCCACTCTCAAGCACACAAGCTCTTAATGTGTCTTCTAAAGTTTGTATCATCCGTTCTATTTGACCATCCATCGTTTGAGGATGATTCTATGTACTCAAACACGACTTGGATCCAATGGCTTGTTGAAAAGCTTTCCTAAACCTTGAAGTAGACTTTGGGTCTCTATCGGATACAATTCTAGAGGGAACACCATGCAGTCTTACTATTTCTTCAACAAACAACCATGCAAGATGACTTGCCTTGTAAGTAGTTTTCACAGCTAAGAAATGTGCGTACTTCGTTAACCGTTCCATAATCACCCAAATAGAGTGATAACCACCTTCCGTACGAGGTAACCCAATAACAAAGTCCATTGAAATGCTATCCCATTTCCACACCAGAATCTCTAACGGTTGCAACAAACCACCCGGTCTCTGGTGTTCTATATTCACTTGTTGGCACACTACACATTCAGACACATATTCTGCAATATCTCTTTTCATCTCGGACCACTAATATTCCTTTTTCAAGTATTGATACATCTTTGAGGAGCCGAGATGTATGGTAAAAGCGCCTTTATATGCTTCCTCTAAAAGCTTCCTTTTTAACGCCACATCATCCGAAACACAAATTCTTTGATTGAATAGGATAACTCCATCTATGGCTCGTGTGAAACCTGGTTAAACCAACATCTCTTGTAACTATGCATCTAGCACTTGCCCTTATTGAATTTCACCTCTTAAAGTAGAATTAACATTCAAGTTTCCCATTATCATACCATTCTGAGTTCAAACAAAATGAAGATTAAGATCTC